TACCTACCTACCTACCTACCTACCTACCTAGATTAGTATCTGATGCTAAAATCAAAATCACACTACCTCCTTTTTTTTTTTTTTTTACAGATAGCTTATAAGAGTATATTTTTCCCCCCAGCATACTTTTTGTGGGGGACATTTGAGGTTGAAAGTGAACCTCTGATGTTGTGACCTTTCTTTTGCTTTGCTGAGTGATGATTTCATTTTCTGTTTTTCCCACTGTATTTTTTAAAAAGTTACTGCCTTTCGGGAGTAGTCAAGGTATGCCTCCCTCTAGTGGAGTTTGAAGTCTGATGCTGACGTGGAGATATCCACGTTTTCTTGACAACGGGACAGGAGTGGTTTGCGATTGCGATCTTCTAAACTTTTTAAAAGATTTCCCAGTCAGATTTCCAGAGATCTCCCATCCAGGTATTAGCCAAGTCTAACCCTGCATAGCTTTTTCAAAAGTGGCAATGTCTTGTGTGGTGCTGCCCCTTCAATTATTACAGTATTGTTGTTATCCTCAATCTTTATTTTATAATTATTATTACTTGTTAAATTTATATGCTGCCTGACTCCCAGCGACTCTGGGCAGTTTACAAATGATTTAAAACATAAAAACAAGACAATACAAGCACAAGAAACAAAAAGGAGTAAAGATGGGAGAATAATAAACCAGGTAGAATCTTGTGGCTCATATCTCTTCCCTTATAAAGAATAATTTCTGAATTGGGTCGCCTGTTTGGAATCATGGCTTGAGAGGAAAGGCAAACAAAATAAGGGAATTTGTATTTCATCCACAAGCTGAATCAGTCACTAAGTTTCTTTTTAAAAAATATAAGTTTGAGTCGTACTTGGAATTTTTGTTAAAAATTTCAAGTAGTGCATGGCATTTTTATGTGTTTGAATTAGGTGAACCCTCTTGGTCTCCGCAGGACAGGATCTTTTTATGAAACCTTTGGTTGTGCTGATTGGGAATTCTGGGAATTGCAGCCCCAACACTGCTGGAAGGCACTAGATGGTGTGGAGGAGACAGATCTTGGCCCCTAGAAACTCTGATCATCTGTTGTCTATTCTTTCTGAGCTGAGATCTAGTAGTTAAATGGAGCTTCCATGTGCAGAGGCAGTCTCCCTCTGAATTTCACATTCTAGAGCAGTGTTTCTCAACCTTGGCAACTTTAAGATGGGTGGACTTCAACTCCCAGAATTCTCCATGCTGCCTGGGGAATTCTGGGAATTGAAGTCCACCTATTTTAAAGTTGCCAAGATTGAGAAACTGTTCTAGAGGCATACAGCAGGGGAGGGCTGTTAATTCATTCCTTGTGGGCGTCCTGAAGCCATGTGATTGTCGACATTTAGAAATGGGGTGATAAGACTATTTTAGTTACATCCTGCCTGTTGTAGAGGAGCTTGATGCAATGTACATAGCATTCCCTCCCCACAACAACCCTGTGAGGTAGGTGGGGCTGAATGAGAGTGACTAGCTTTGAATCCTCCTCCTTCTGTGGTTCAAGGAGGACTCGAACCTGGATCTCCCCACTCCTAGTCCAGAACTGTTAACTCTGGACCACCCTGCTTCTGGGGCTGAAAGGGAGGGGCTGGCCCAAAGTCCCCCAGGAAGCTTCTGCAGCTGAAGGGGGATTTGAACCCAAGTCTCTGCGCCTACTTCTAGTCCAGCACCTTCACACACACTAATTCTCACTGGATTAAGTAAACCTTTAGTTTAAGCCATTAGGGCAGTGTTTCTCAACCCTGGCACTTTAAGATATGTGGACTTCAATTCCCAGAATTCTCCATGCTGCCTGGGGAATTCTGGGAATTGAAATCCACATATCTTAAAGTTGCCAGGGTTGAGAAACACTGCTTAGGGTTTTCCCATTCAACCACAAGCCACCTCTTACTGTGTGCGGTATAATTTTAGCTGTTCTCTGTGGAATTTTACATGAATGCCTGTTGAGATACCTGGAAACAGCGTGTGTGGGCATATAAGATCTGACTTTTTATTGGTTCCCCAGCGTGGGATGCTTGGAGCTTGTTTTGAGAGAGGAGAGCTGACAAGTTAGAGCCTGCATCACCACACACAATCCAAGATGGAAAGAATGATGGAAGGTATTGAATGCCAGTTCCCAGAGTTTTCAGCTTTCACTTAAAAAAAACTCTGTTGTTTCAGTACTTTTTACTCAGAGTTATTTCTTCAGCCCAAATTGCTCTCAACTTACAGGATTCTGTCTCATCAGGAAAGAAATGCCATCCTGACGTAAAGAAGTGGCTTGTTTAATTTGATTAAAAGATTGATTGATAGATTGATTAATGTATGACTTGAAATTTACAGAGTTATTTTATATGTAGGTGTTACTGTGTTTTCCTAAGATGGGAAAACACAAACATACACACACACTCTGTAGACACAGTTTAATTTCTGCTGATAGGCTCAGAAGTAGCAAACTCAAGACTTTTTATTGGTTCCCCAGTGGGATGCTTGGCGCTTGTGAAAGATTGAGGAGAGCTGGCAAGTTAGAGCCTGTATCAGCACACAGTCCAAGACAGAAAGAATGATGGTGACTCTCTGGATATAATCATGTAAGGGTTTGTGTGTGGGGATCAATGTGCTCTTGCCACTCTCTCTAATAATTTTTTGAGTTCCTATTCTAGCATGGAATCACCAGATGGTGTTCCATCCAGTTACAAACCACATCCAACCCAAATTGGCGTTTCAAGATCAGACAAGTTCAGCTAGAGACTGCCACCTGCTGGTCTTTGGAAATCATAATTTGGCTTCCCAAATGTGGTAACACTCACAAGCAGGCTGGGAGTTATGGTGGTTGAAATCCAGTATATTTTAAGGGCACCAGATGGGGGAGAGCTACAGCAGATTTGTTTAAACCTTTCATGTGCATCAGAGGATCCAGCTACTATGCAGTCCCTTTTGTTTCTGCAACAAGCTAGATTGTTCCCACCTTTCACATTTTAGCCAAGGTGTATGTGTATGTGTATATCTGTGCATATATACCTGTATATATATACATGTGTATATATGTGTGTGTGTGTGTGTATATGTGTATATATGTGTGTGTGTGTGTGTATATGTGTATATATGTGTGCATGTGTATATATGTGTATATATGTGTCTGGGTGTGTGTGTGTGGGTATGTATAGCAGCTTGACAGCGTAGTGGTTAGAGCGCCGTCCTTTGATGTGGGAGACCGGGGTTTGAATCCTGGCTGGTACCTACCTTACCAGTACAGGTCCTTGGGCAAAGATTCTCTAACGCTTCACCTCCCTACCTCGGATATGAGAGTGACACGAACTAAGAGAGTCATGCCGGCTCAGATGTTGCCTGGATAATCAAGGTCCATACCAGATGTTGGGGAACCAGGACAATCTGACGATAAGTGGGCTACTGGAACAAACCATACATGGATGAAACAAGAGAACCTGGAATTGATGGAATGCTACTACAACAGTAGACCTACTGAGAGGGGATATATGAGACATATGAGAAAACTATGGATGGACAGAAGACCTACATCCACACTAACTGAGAAACAGCTACTTACCCAGCGCTTCAACATGGTGAAGAGGAAGCTGCTCTCACAAC